CACAGTGGGGACTCGATCTATTTTTGGTTTAAATATATCGCTTTTCTATGAAATACTGAATGTACTGTGTTTTTGAAGAAATAGTTTAAGGTTTAAAAATTCTATGTCTTAAGTTTGCTGTCTGCCACTACCTGAAAAGTTTTATTTGGCATGTGATAACAGCTGCCTTCTTACAATGCCTGAAGATTACATTTGCATTTAATTACTCCTTCCTCTACATAAAGGCAGTGTGAGCTGGTGATATTTTTGTTAAAAACAGAGAAATCTGCTCGTCAACTCCCTTCTTCAAAAACACCGGATAAAGAAAGTGTTTGATAACAGTTCAGTCATTTAGAAAAGAACCAGATAGAAGTGATTATTTTTTAGAATATGTTTCAGTTAAAATTGCACATTCTGGCCAGAGTTGGTGGTACATGCCAATAATTCCATCACTCTGGGAAGCTGAGACAGGAGGGTCACAAATTTAGACCCACATGCTTGTAATCCCAGCACTCAGGAGGCTGAGGCAGGAAGATCATGGAGATTTTGAGACCAGCCTGGGCCACAAAGTGAGCTCAAGGCCAGCCTGAACTGCATAGGGAGACCCTGTCTCAAGAAGACCAAAAAAAAAAAAAAAAAATTCAGACCCAGCCTCTGGGCAACTCCATGACTTGTTGGGAGCCTGTTTTTGTTTTTTTTTTTTTTAAAAGGCTGGAGATGTAGCTCAGTGCAGAGGGCCTGGACTCGATCCTGGGTACCACAAATAGCGCTCCTCCATCCCTGCAAATTCTGAGAACACAATTATATTTCTTGTTCCTGTGTGGAGAACAGTAGGCATTAGGAGTTAGACTAAAGATTCCCCCTGCCGCTCCTCCCTTAAACAGTGGCACCTTGTGTGAACATTTGTGTTCTGTACTTCTCATCTCAAAAAGTCTTGGTGTGGACCGGGTGTGGCAGTGCACACCTCTAATCCTAGAACTTGGGACCTGAGGCAAGGAGGATCACCTTGAATTTGAGGCCTGCGTGGACTACATAGCGAGACCCTGATTAAAAAAAAAATTCTTGGTATGAAATAGTTAATAATTTTACTTAAATCTAAGTTTGTTTTGCCAGGCGTGGTGGTGCATGCCTGTAGTCCCAGCACTTGGGAGGCTGAGGCAGAATGATTGCCAAGAGTGAGGCAGAAGGATTGCCAAGAGTTCAAGGCCTCAATCTCCCGAGTACTGGAACTACAGGCATGTGTCACCACACCCAGCCTCCTAAATTCTTGCCCAGTGGTTTTTTTTTAAAAAGGGGCTTTCATTTGTCAACATTTTCTTTTGCGATTTTTGACAGAAATGAAGTTCTGGTTGAAGATGGTTGAAGTTTTTAAAAGTGAAAGGGCTGGGCCGGGCATAGTGATGCACACCTATAATCCACCACTGAGGGGCTTGGGCAGGAGGATGACATGAGTTCAAGTCCAGCCTGGGCTACGCAGTGAATTCAAGGCCAGGCAGAACTACATAGCCAGACCCTGTCTCAAAAAAAAAAAAAAAAAGACTGAGAAGCAAGTTCCAAAAGTATAGGACTCCAGCTATTCAGATGGCTGTGAGTGGATCACTACATCGTCCTCTGGGAGAAATTGTAGTATGTGAAACTTGGATGTTTATAAATTCTCAGACATGTCAGAGTATCTTGGCTTTATTCCGTCAATGCTGCATTGGGCAGTGGGAATTAGCCCTAGTCTTAGACTGGGCTAATTCCCAGACTGCCAGGGTATGGATTTCTGTTCTGTAAAGTGTGATTCTGGGCAGGTTAGTTTACCTCTGTAAGGTATATCCTGGCAGGGTTGCTGTAAATTCAGGTTGGATAGTACTTGTAAATAGAGAGCATGGATAACCAGCATGGTGGTACATGCCTGTAACCCCAGCACTCTGGGAGGCTGTGGCAGGAAGAGCACAAGAGTGGCAGTTTAGCGAGACCATGTCTCCAAAACAAAACCAGATGATGTAGCTCCATGCAGAGAGCCTAGGTTCAGCCCCCAGTACCAGCAAAAAGCTATATACCATGGCATCTGGCTCAGGCTAAGCCCTCTAAGTTTTACCTACTCTGTTTATATACATACCCCTGTCTGCAACCAATGCCAAGGTAGAATGTTCCCCTCTTAAGGTATTTTCCACATGAAACTACATATAAAATCCTTGACATTTCTTCTTAGTCTGTGAGTAGAAAAACAGTAGGTACTGCTCAGTAAGGATGACTAGAAAGAAAAAAACCTATGTCTTAAATCTGTATCTTCAACCCTGACCTCTCCCAGAACTGTTCCTCTAAGTTGCTCCTAGAAGTTACTCTTGATCCCTTGCTTTCCCTTAGTGCCCCACTTGCACGCTGCCAATGTCTCCTAGCAGTCTACCTCCCAAGGTCTCCTAGATCCAGCTAGCTCTATGTCCATCACTGTCTTTGTGGTTCAAACTGTGATCTGTTACTTGGATTGCTGCAATAGGTTTCTAATTTGGTCTTTCTGCTTTCATGCTCCTCTGTTTATTCTCCACATGATAGCCAGGGTGATCTTTTAAACAAAATGATATCATGTCACTCCTTGTTTAAAACTTTGATTATACTGGCTTCCTGTTTTGCTTGAAACAAAATCAGAACTTCCTAAGATCATGAAGTCTAATACAATGCTCCTTACACTGCCTACATACTGCTGTTTCTCCCACCCTTCCCTTTTTCACACTGCAGATCCGGGTCAATTGGGTTCTCTTCTAGGGTGTCTGAAACACCCTTCTTGTACTTGTCTGTTCTTGGTAAAGAGAACTTCCCTGACTACCCGACATAAGACAGGCTTTCTCGACCCTGATCTGCTGCTTTTAATTCTCTGCATGGCATGTGTTATGGCTTGTGTCTAGATGATCCCCCAAAGCCTCATGCGGTCATAGGTGGGGCTCTTTCAGAGGTGGCTGGATCTAGATATGTAACACTGGAATTGGTTCATGATGCAGTACTAGGCTCAAGGGCACTAGGATTAAGGGTGTGAGTGCTACCTGTCCTAAGTAGCCAAGATAAGATAAAATGGGCAGAAAGACACTGTTAAGGTCCCTTGCTTGTTTTGCTACCTTCTGGCTGCTGTGAACTGTTTCTGCTCTGTGATGCATGTCTGCCAAGCCACCCTGCCTTGGAACCAGCTGCTTATGGACTGAAAACATCTATAGACTGTGAGCCAAATAAACCTTTCCTTGTTTAACTTTGAGTGTTGAGTATTTTGTTTCAGCAACAAGAGAAAAGAAACTAAGACAGAATGTGATACCAGAGCAATGGGGTCATTGCTGTGACTGTATGTGACCATGTGATTTAGGAGCCTTTGGAGCTGGCTTGTGGGAAGGGAAAGAGTTAGGAAAGGTTTAGAGATGCTGGCTGAAAAAAGCAGAGCTGGAATGCCGGAGGCGTTCTTGATGGGAGATTCTGGTCAGAGCTCAGAAGACTAATAAAAATGTTGCTGGTAAAGACCAGGCTCAGGAGGTTTCTGCTGGGAAGAAGGACTTCATTGGCTGTTGGAGTCCAGATGATTTCTGTTATGCCTTGGCAGAAAGTTTGTCTGCATTTTGCTTATGTCTAGAGACTTTCCTGAGACTAAGATTAAGGGTGGTGGACTAATTAATCTTGCAGAAGAAACTTCAAGGCAGTCTAATGTTGAGGCTGTGGCATGGCTACGGTTGGGGGCTTTTAGCCAGATTTACATTGAGAATCAAGAGCAAAGAGCCTGGCAGAATTATTTAAAGTGTTTTGAGTTGGGCCATAAAGGCAGCTCCAATAAAATTGTGGCCTGCAAAGATGGGACAGAGGAGAATTTAGTCACTGAAAAGACTAGCAAGGAAAAGCCAAGTAGTTTAGAAGACCACAGAAAAGATGGCCTGAGAGCATTACAAGAAGCAGTAGGACTCCACCCTTTGCTGCTTCAGAATTGTAGAAGTAAAAGACTTGGCTTTGAGAAGAGTCCCAGAGCACCATGTTCCTCAATGGTGATGGCCTAGGGAAATTGCTCCTCCCTACAGCCAAGAGAAAAGAAAGGATTTAGTTCATAGGCACTCCCCTACAGCCAAGAGAGGCAAGCCTGATTACTGCTGCAGCTGGCAGTTAACACTGTACACATGGTGCTGGTTTAGGTACATGCAGAATGCAAGAGTTGTGGGGTCAAGAAGACTTCTACCCAGATTTCAGAAGACCTGGGAGGCCAGGCAGTATGCTCCTGAAAGGGCCGTGTATGAAGCTGTGAGTGTGAAGCCAAAGATACAGTGGAGACCCCAAAAGTTTGGAGAAGCCAGGAACACGGATGGTCTGAGGAAAACTGCAAGGAGGGAGCAGAGCTGGCCCCAGAGAGAAGCCATGGAAGCTACAACCACTGGCAGTGCTGTAGGGGCAGAGCCAATGAAGCCCTTCTGAGCTCACAACTTGCCACAGATGTATTTTGGTCTTGTTTTGTTCCTATTCTTTGCTATCCCACTGTTTATAACTTTTGGAATGGAAATGTCTATCTTATGCCATTGAATGTTGGAAGTGTTTAACTTTCTTTTCATTTGTACAGGGTTTCACAGCTAAGTTTGCCTTAAATCTCAGAAGAGACTTTGGACTTTTCCGCAATGCTGAAACTGTTAGTACTTTGGCAACCCTTGGAGATAGACTAAATGCCTTCCTAAAAAAAGTTTATTGATACATTTTAGGTACGGACTAAATGCTTTCTGCCTAGTGGGATATGCATGTATATTTGGGGGGTTAGGGGCAGAATGTTGACTTGTGTTTAGATGTTCCCCCACAGCCACATGTGGTCATAGGTGAGGCTTTTTTAGAGGGGGCTGGATAATAGAGCATATGATGCTGATTCATGATCAGTGCTAGGTGAGTACTACCTGCCCTAAGTAGTCTGGATAAGATAAGGGGCAGAAAGACACTGTAAAGCTCCCTTGCTTGTTTTGCTCCCTTCTCTCCACTATGAACTGTTTCTCCTCTGCAGTTCCTGTGGGTCATGCCACTCTGCCTTGGAGCCAGCTGATTATGGACTAAAACCTCTCAAACTGCCAGATAAATAAACCTTTCCTCCTTTAACTTTGGGTGTTAGCTGTTTTGTCTCTGCTATGACAGAAATGCAACAAAGATAGTGCATTTAATCACTTGATATTCTTATTTGTTACTTGATTATTCATTTGTCTGTTTTCCCTTAGTGTATAAGTTCTGCAGGGGCAGCACATGTTACTCATCTTTGCTGAATCTCCAGTGTCTAGTAAGTAGATGCTCAATAAATATTTGACGGGTGAATGATTCCTAAAAGCTTGTTTCTAAAGTAACATAGATTAGGTCTAGGGTGAAGTGATAAAAATAAGGAAAAGTTTTACAACAAATCTGTTACATAGGGTTACCAAACAATCCTGTGGGAAGAGCTATCTTTTACTTTTGTTGGTGATGTTCTTTTTACATTTGTGTATTAAAATGTCCTTTCCATTATGAAACAAGTGTGATTGTTTAGTTAAAAAATATTTTCTTTGCAGTATGAGTAATTGGGAAGCACTACTGTCCTGAACCCTTAGATCAGAGCTTTTCTTTGAGCTTTAGAGATTTGTTGTTGCTGAAAATACGGAAGCACTTGTGTGGGTGTGCCGGGGAGGGAGTTTCGCTAAAAATTCTCACTAAATAAAGTTCAATCAACCAAATGTTATTTTATTCTTCAGATTCTCCATGGAAAGAAATTGTCAAGTTTCGTTTAAAGACTGTATTGTGTTGGAATATATGATATTAAAATGAAAAATGACCTAGGACTATGCAGATAGTAAATGGAAACAATGAACCTGTTACGGTCTTTTGAGGAAGAGTTAATGCATTTAGCACTGTTTGTTTCAATAACCTTGTCCATAATTAAAACTGATCGGTTCCTTTTTTTTTTTGGTACCAGGAATTGAACTCAGGACCTTGCGCTTGCCAGGCAGGCGCTTGTGCCACTGAGCTATATCCCCGGCCCAAGAAACTGATCAGTTCTTAAAAAAAAACCCAACCAATTTGTATTGAGACACAGGAGAGTTTTTCTTTTATTATCTAATAAGAACTGAAATGGACCTGAGATGTCATCCAGAACAAACTCCTACATGTTTCAAATAAGGAAACTGATGGTAAAAAAGTAATAAAGTTATTGGTAGGTGCAGGATTAGGATGGCATCTTCACATTCTTAGGCTCTGGAGTGTTACATTATGACAGACTACTTATTTTAGGGAGACAGAAGTTTTAAGAAGTTTCTCTTCTTGAAATACGATATAGATGGCTTTAAAAATATTACTTTATCAATATTAAATGAGGGGATGTATTTTTAAGTAGCTTGCAAGGAAAACATTCCACATTCATGTAATGACAGCTGGGCTCTTAGGCGAAGCTCTAAAGTGATATTTACACTTTTAATTTTTGTGAAGTTATTTAAAATTAACCAAGACAATCATAAGGATATTTTATTTTCGTTATTTCTGTCTTTAAGAGTCTTTACAAGCTAGGAGTGGTAGTGTATGCCCATAATCCCAGCATGCTGGGGGGTGAGGAAGAAGGGTTGCAAGTTGGAGCCCAGCCTGGGCAATTTAGGGAGACCCTATCTTGGGGGGCAAAAAAAACCCTAGGGATGTTTAGGTCCTAGATTCAATCCCTGGTTTTCCACTCCCCCCACAAAAACTACATGTGAAAAGATGAAACATGTATAAAATAAGCCCAGTTCTTCTAAAAATGTTTTGCTTTTTTTTTTTTTTTTGAGACAGGGTGTCCTCTGCAGTTCAGACTGGTCTTGAGCTCACTTTTTAGCCCAGGCTGGCCTGGAGCTTGCAATGGTCCTCCTGCCTCAGCCTCCCAAGTGCTGGGATTACAGGTGTGTGCCACCACTTCTGGCCATTTGTTTGCTTTTTGAGACAGGGTCTCGCTATGTAGTTCAGGCTGGCTCCAACTTGCAGCAGTTCTCCTGCCCCAGCCTCGTGAGTCCTGGGATTATAGGTGTGGGCTACCTTGCCCAACCTAAGAATGTTAGTTTTAATGGTTGTGACTTTACAAATACAAGGTTTTGTTTTTTTTTTAAAAGAGTAGGGATGTTTTGCTTTTTAAAATCATTTGAAAAAGACAAGATCTAAGTCTGTCATGGGGGCGCCTGTAATCCCCACACTGAGGAGGCTGAGGCAGGAGGATCTTTGTGAGTTAGGGACCAGCCTGGGCTACAAAGTGAGCTCAAGGCCACCCTGAATGTATAGCAAGACCCTGTCTCAAAAAGACAAAAAGGAAAAAAAAAAAAGACAATTATAATTTTATGATTATAAAATCAATGTCTAGGGCTGGGTATGGTGGTGCATGCCTATAACCCCATTGCTTGGTGAGCTGTGTCAGGAGGATTTTGCAAGTTTGAGGCCAGCTTGGGCTATATAGTGAGTTCAAGGCCAGTCTACTGAACTACATAGTGAGAGTCTGTCTCAAAAAACCAAAAAAAAAAAAAAATTGCAAGCTTGCATTTTTTTTTTTCCCTTTTTCTGGTATAGGGAATTAAACCCAGGACAGCCCTTTTCTTGTTTTTGTTTAATATATCTTGGGTATTTTCCTATATCCTTAACATAACACTTATGGAAACATTTCATAATAGCCCCATAACTGTCTTCTGTAATTTATTTAACTATTAATACTCTTTCTGGTTTTAAGACATGATAAATTTTTGGTATTGTTAATGCTGAAATAAATAACTGGAATAACAAATAATCTTTGTTCATAGTTTGTTTTTTAACTATAGTTGCCTGACAAATGGAATTTCTCATACATAGTGCCAAAAAGCTTTCTAGAAATGTACTAATTTATACTCCCACTAATAATGTATGAGAGTGCTTTTCTTATTACACCCTTAACAACAAACTGGTCCTGTTTGAAAAGAACACTGCTATTATTTTGGGCTGTGAAGCATCTGTTGAAAAGATTAGTAGGTGGGTCCACATCTTTGTTATGCTTTCTAGTGGAATTTAGCTATGTGAGGTTAGCTATCTGTTTTCTTCTAACCCAAGAGTAGATAAGCCAATAAAATACTTATTAAAATTATTTTTTGTGCTACTGTGGATTGAACCCCTGAGCTATATCCCATTGCCCACCCCATCCCCCAGCCCTTTTACATTTTTATGAGACAAGGTCTTGCCAAGTTGCCCAACCTGAGCTTAAATTTGAATTTGTAATCCTACTGCCTCAGCTTCCCAGGGTACTGGCATTACAGGGGTTTGTCACCACTGTCCTGACACACTTTTCTTGATTCAAGTGTTTAAATTTTAAGTAGGTTGATGAAAGTTAAAGATTTGAATTGACTGCTTTCACCTAAAGAGGATAAGGTAGGCCTCTGAGGAAATTGCTTAGAAAATTGATCAAAAGTAGTACTTAATCCGTAACTAATTGTGTGTGTGTGTGTGTGTGTGTGTGTGTGTGTGTGTGTGTGTGTATTGAGAAAGACTAAATGGAAGGGGTATGGGGAAAGATTAGGAAAAAAAGAATAAATGACCAAGGAAAGGAAGTTGCTGTGAATCAAAAGAACTGCTTTTATCTGGGAAAGTGTACTTTTACTTTTATCCTTACCTGGTTGATTTTTTTTTTTTTTGGAGACAGGGTCTCATACAGCCCAGGTTGGCCTTGAACTCCTGGCTACTCTTGCCTCAACCTCTCAAGTGCAAGGTTTACAGGTGTGCACCACATCTGGCTACTGATTAAATACTTGAATATTGCAGACCTGTATCATCCCTCAGTGACATAGGCTTTAATATATTTCTTTAAAAATAACTAAAGACTTAAGATTAGTTGTTTTGATAGCAAAATTAGGGCTTTACATTTTATGTACTTTTTTAAAATTTATTTTGCAGTGCTGGGGATTTAGTCAAGGACATCACACATTCTAGGCATGCAGTCTACTGCTGAGCTGCACTCCTGTTTTAATCTTAAATACTAAAAAGAATATTTTTTCATAGTATGTTCAGCAGGAACAAAAAACACATACGATTTTGTAGAAGGCCAAGTTCATATTTGCTTTAGTATCATGCTTCCCAGAGATGTTATTTATTTATTTATTTTGTGGTACAGGGGATCTAACCCAGGACCTCTCTCTCACACACACACACACACACACACACACACACACACACACACACATGAGGCAAGTGCTCTACCACTGAGCTTGCTCCCTATCCCCTAGAGTTTGATAATAACAATAATGATAATATTATGTGCAAGGACTCTTCCTGGACACTTTACTAGAATTAATCTTCATTATGCCCTGACAGGCATGTCTTGGTTAAATTTAGGGACTGATAGGTTAAGAACCAGCTCAAGGTCACACAGCGAGTAGGAAGTGTAGCAGGAGTTCCGCACCAAGTGTGTTTTGCTACCTTTATAACTTTGCTACTGGGTCTGCCTCACAGAACACAAGGAATCTGTGAGACTTGGGAACATAAAGAAATGTAAAATTGTGGCTACTGAGACTTACTGAATCAAACCTGCCCAAATAAGTGATTTGTATATTAGATTTGAGAAGCACTGCTCACACCATACGGTGCCCTGTATGAGAAGTTAACCTTGAAGTTTTGAAATCCTATGGATTGTTCCTAGTTTCCATCCATGTGGATTATCTATTAACATTTCCTGCAAGGGGAGGAAGGAAACTCGAATTAGTCAGTGTCTCCAGTACTTAAAATTGTTATCCAGCTGCATATTTAGTTTGGATTCTGTTTAACCCAAAGGAACAGCTGACTAACAGCTTGTGCACATTTAGTCAAGGTCTCACCATGCCAAGTATAGCCCTCTTGCGTTAATATTATCCCTTAGTTATTGCAGACTGATCAGGTCTGCAATCTCCCCAAGAAGTAGATGGTGACGGCTAAATAAAAGAGACAAATGGAATGATTTTAGGGCTCCAGGAGAATCAAAAATCCTCTCACAGAATTCGAGATTCTCTGGGGGCTAAGACTGAGATCTTCTCTGGGTGGCCTGTATTTATTTAGTTATCAGAAGTAGCAGGGAGGAGAATACTCAGGAAGGGTGGGAATGCTCAGGAACTTCTCCAAGTAAGGCATTATGTTAATTTAGGAGAGCTATGTTAACTCCAGGAAGGTCTCCACCCAGGAGTGAGGTGCCCAAGGCTAGTCTCTATCTAGTTAAGATTGGAGTCAGGTGTCCTTGCCTGTGACCTTGTCTTACCCTTTGAGGCTTCACTGCTTCACCTGCCATTACAGGCCTCAGCTGGGACCAGTGACTCACAGAGGTTCACTTACTATGAGTCCGTGGCCCATCTCCAGACAAGGGACCTAGGCTTTGGACAGACTCACAAGTAAACATGGAAAGCCAATTAGTTAATTTAAGTCCTGTTCAGGGCTGCTTCCTAGTGGTCTCCATCACTGATTCATGTTTTAACAGCCTTTACTCAGGGACTGAACACATCAGATGTATACTGACAGCTTTATTTTAGATGGGCATTTCCCAAATTAAAGAGAACAGGCTAAGGCTAAAAATAGAATTTTCTAAAGAAACCTGAAGTTTCAGGGATAGCTAATGTTTTTAGATGTCTAGCAAGGAAAATCACTTTCTTTTTTTGGTACTGGGAATCGAACTCAAGACCTTGTGCTTGCCAGGCAGGCGCTTATGCCACTGAGCTATATCCCTGGCCTGGAAAATCACATTTGTATAAACTGGCTTCCTTACTAATTTGAATTTGTGAATATAATTGTTTTGTCATAGAGAGTAAGAAGACTACTGTAACTGAAGACTACATGCAGAACAGCACTGTCCAATGGAAATATAATGTGAGATGCATATAATTTAAAAATTTCTAGTAGCCAGCCAGGCATGGTGGCATGTGCCTGTAATTCTAGCACTTGGGAGGCTGAGGCAGG